GACTGACTTAGAGGAGACCGATTGAACAAGAACTGAACATCTTTTTTTTTCCTTTCACTATTAATTCTTACAATCTACAAGCCTTACTCCAGATACGGCCAATATTAACAGCATCAGACATATGGGTAGCTAACTGGCTGGCTGCAATTCTTGGTAGCAGACTATATGAATTACTTTCTAAATGTAGTAGGCTATCACGTTTAGTAAAAGTCAGTCAAATGATACATTATACTGTGAAACAAATAAAGAAATCACAACTTACTTGATGCTGTGTGTCTGTATTATTATTGGACAGCCAATCAGGATGAAGGAACAATTCCGTCCTCTAATTGGCTGTTTTTTGGCACATTTGTAACGGCTGTATCAGAGAATTGAACGAGCGTAGAAGGCGACCTGAGCGCACACAGAGGAGGTTCTCAGAGAGCGAGTGAGCGAGAGAGAACGAGCGCAGAGATGCAGATTGTGAGAGGGCATAAATAGTTGAGCAAAAGCATTTGACCTATGCGTGCGCTCAAAAAAAACATCCCGCGCTCAGAATGTCAGATGCGCGCGCTCAAAAAAATATTCCGTGCTCAGGATGTCAGATGCGCGCGCTCAAAATGTCCCATTGCTCGCTCAGGAAATTGGCACAAATATAACGCCATAGAGTAGAGGAACCATAGTTCAGACACATTAGAGGGAATTCAGTTGAATCTGCGTTTGCAAAACAGCTCAAACAGGTTCAGACAAATCCAGCACTGCACAAAACCAAAGGCAGGAATAGCTTGAAAAAAACATCTCAGTACTAAAATCGTACTTTTTGGTTTACTTTGTACAAGTTTGCAAACAGGCATTCATTGACAGAACTGCATTATATGAATCTTTTTCTTTAGGTTTAACTAGTAAATAAGTACTAAAGACAAATTAATGAAATAATACAGTAGAAGGTCACTTTGAATGATTTTAGCCAATGATGTAGAAGGATAAATATTTGGGGATGGTCTACATTCACTCTGGGATGACTGGGATTGAATTTTGGGAGGATTCTGGAAGGATGGAGAGAATAGTTAAAAGCCCTGAGTGACGACTGCATCATTAATGACAGAGGAGAGCAGACAGGTGAGTACTTACCTGTGTCAGGTGTGAGGTTCCTGTCTCTGGAGCAGTGTACCTGTCAGCTGTCAGAAAATGAAAAGTATGGCATTAGAAAGGGGAGGGCACTGTGGAGGGTGGGGAAGTGCGTTCTGACTGTTGTAGTTTGTACAGGTGTTGCTAGATGGAGATAAAGAGTCATAGTTCATGGACTGTTCCTTTAACGACTGAGCTGCTGTGTTGATGCTGTACCGCATGAGCTTTGTGTGAAGAGAGGAAGTTCATAGCATGTGACTGATCTTTGTCATGATTAATAATTTATGAGTGTTGTTATATTTTGGGGACAAGGTCAGAGAGGCCAGATTGAGATGGTTTGGACATGTGCAGAGGAGGGATAGTGGTTATACTGGTAGAAGGATGTTGGAGTAGGAGCTGCCAGGCAAGAGGTCAAGAGGAAGGCCAAAGAGGAGATATATGGATGTGCTAAAAGAGGACATGAAGTTAATTAGGGTGAGAGTAGAGGATGCTGAGGATAGAGTTAGGTGGAAACAGATGATTCGCTGTGGCGACCCCTAACGGGAACAGCTGAAAGGAGAAGAAGAAGTAATGTTTAAAATAAAGTTGTTTAATTGGTTGACATGCTCAATACTTTACTATCAGTGTATTCTTATCTGCTCTGTTACCATGAGATCAGCTGTTTCTGTCTCCATCCACGTCACCTGGACATTTTCCTCATTGGAGATCATTTTGGTGACGAGGGTGGATTCTTATAACTGTAGTGGCCCCGTGTGTTTTCATCTACTGCCATCATCAGGTCATAAATAGTATTTTGAGCACGTTAGCATGACTGCAAACTTCTCCTGAATCAGGAAACATCACATCTGCTGCTCTCACTGTTACTGTATCAGGTGTTAATTTGAGTGTTGTTCAGGTTGAAGGGAGTGATTTACAACAACTGTGTGCAGTTGAGAGGCTTTGTACAATCTGCACACACGCAAACAAACATCTCAGAAAAAGTAATAGAGATCTGGGATAAGAAAGTGAAAATGCTTCTAGATTTTCATGTTTCTGAGTAATGTTAAATGTTTTCTATCCTATTTATGTCTGGAGTGACACCCACCCCAAATTGAACTGCCTGGTTCTGGCTGTTTGTGCTGTACTCCTGTTTAGACCAAGAACAGAGAGGGGACGCACCCAGTGAGAGGAAACAGGTAGAGCAGGCTGGGCTGTTGAGTAGCCTGAGGGAGTGTTTCTGCCTTCATTCTGCAGGAAGCCAGCACAGGAGTGGGAGCAACAAGCCGCTGAGGAGTGAAGGAAAAGAAAAACCATGGCTGTGAACAAATGCGTCAAATACCTGCTCTTCATTTTCAACCTTCTTTTCTGGGTGAGTCTAGAAAACACAGTGTTAATACATCATTTAAAGCCTTTTAAACACTTTGCAGGCGATGTGTTGGAAGTGCGTTGATATTACAGAGGAATGCTTAATCATCATGCGATGAAGGACCATGTTTATATTAACTTTGTTTCCAAGACTTTCAGTGGCAGGTGTATTGTTTGTTGCACTGTTCAGTCTGTGGGTTTGTTTAACTGACCCATCTTTATTTTTGTTGCTTTCAAAACCTATTTTCTCTCTGATTTCTCTGTTTGGGCTCTTGTTTAACTGGTGGCTGATCAGTTTGGCCTTTTTATGTTTAACCTCTGTTGTCCAGGCAGGTGTTTTGTCATTTTAAACTTTAAATTGGTGTGTTTTCTGTAACTTTTATTTTTCTCTTGCGGCTGTGTTTCATTCGGGGCAGTAGTGTAGAACAGGTTGTGTTGGCTGTTTTTTATCTCTGCCTCTCCCTGCACAACAAACATTTGGTTAGTTTCAGGGTGTGGCCTGCTGCCCAGCATCACATCACCACCACTGTCTTCTTTTTGATTTTTATTTAACCTTTATTTCACTGAGGTCTTTATCTGCAGCCTCATATCAGTCCTCTGCCTGCGGTTGCACCGATACCACTTTTTTCAGACCGACTACAAGTACTTATATTTGACTACTTGGTCAAAACGTGCTGTTTCTACTGTAACAAATGAGTTACAATAACAGTGCAGTGACTTTGGAGACCGTTTCTGTTTTATTTTCATGAGATAAACTTTCTGATTGTGATTAAATAAAACAGGAGCTTGTGCATGTTGCGTTAACACTTGTTGTGATGCCACCGTTCCTGTTCACTGTATAGTGTAACTGACTGGCTGTAGCCTGCTACACAACACACTGTAATACTGTGGTTTTCACCTTAGTATGAGTGCAACCCTCTGTTAGGGTGAAACGATTTCATGTCCTGTCCCAGCACGTCAAAGTTTATGAGGCCTAATATCACAGTCAGCAGTTTAAATATTTTACAAACCAGGGTGTAGCTCTGACTTTAAACTGGCTGCTGTCTGCGCTGCTCGCTCTCAGCAAAGTCCACAAGGATTCAGCTCCTTTTCATACACAGAGCTCACTAGTGTCCACGGTTCACTACATAAAGTTGGCATTTGTTTTCTTCCTGTTCACAACAGCTCACTACAATCAGCAGGACGAGCCGTGTGGGTTTAGTGGGTGAAGATGTCGCATTTCTGCAAGTTTGTTCTAGTGTTCGGCTTGTTCAGCTGGTGTTTGGTTATCGACTCTCTCCACTACTGTTGGATTTTGTTGCTTGTATCGAGCGTTGACGTCTGTGTAAAACGTGACCTTGTGTTTGTGTGTGTGAGACGAGGAGGGAGAGCTGAGCAGAGAATCGCAGCTTGCAGTCGGCTTTACTTGTGTCATTGTCACTCATTTTATGGGAAGATGTTGGATGTGAGTGTGTCCAACAAGTTTAGCTTAGTCTAAGAGTTGTGAAATGTGGAAACTTTGACACAGCTCGCTCTGTACGGCCTCATGTTCTAAGCTGGGAGTTTCCCACACGCTCCACGTTGGCTAATCTACAGCTCCACTCAGGCATTTTAGATTAAGTGCTTGCACAACACACACATGGTGGTATGTGATGTTAGAGGCTTGTTTGTACAGTGCTATAGAAATGTTATTGTTTTTATTACAAAGATGGTACAGAAGCTTTAGAACACCCCCACGTTTCCAGCTCTTATTGACATGTAAACAGTTCAAGTCCAATGAATCACCTTCAGTGGTACACGGCTAAAACGTAAACCACCAGAGGTAAAAAGAAAAGTCACCAAAACCTAAACACAAACCAGGCCTTTCTCAGGAATCAGTACCAGGTGAACCTGCATTGTTTCTGCAGCAATGGAAGTGAATGAAGCCTTGGAAACTGATGCAAACAGTTCATGTCCTGACTTACAGCAACAGATTCTCTCTGTGTTGGATCAGACATCTGGAAAAAGGCCATGAAGACAGGAAGTCAGAGCTGCTCAGGGTTTGAATGAGCCACAGCTGTAGGCTGTGGATGAGGAGAGAGCAGTGACAACGGCACAGGGTCTAGACTTTCCAGATGAGAAGTGAAAGTAGAACATCGATGGGAATGTCTGCAGCAACGCCGTCTGCCCCAACAGTTTGGTTTCAGTTATAGAGAGAATGACACAGGTGTGTTCACCTGTTGGGTCAATAACTACTGGAAACACGGGGCTGATCTAAAAAAAAACAACAGACTTTCAACGGTTTTATCACCAAAGTAAAGAACAGTCTGTGGAACGAGGAGAGAGCAGTGACAACGGCACAGGGTCTAGACTTTCCAGATGAGAAGTGAAAGTAGAACATCGGTGGGAATGTCTGCAGCAACGCCGTCTGCCCCAACAGTTTGGTTTCAGTTATAGAGAGAATGACACAGGTGTGTTCACCTGTTGGGTCAATAACTACTGGAAACACGGGGCTGATCTAAAAAAAACAGACTTTCAACGGTTTTATCACCAAAGTAAAGAAGGAAGTAAAAACAGTACCATACCACATGTCGCTTCCTGCTTCTGGCTGCCTCTGTGTCGGGTTGATGACATCATTAAAGCGACTGAAAAGCATCTTGGGAAATGTAGCAGGGTTTGTGATAAAGGCTAAAAACCATTATAAAGCCTCATCCGGTTCTTTCAAACCAGGAACTCAGAGGGACGACTCAGACCACTTGAGTATATAAAAAATATAACCGTGCTGGTTTATTCAAAGAGTCACAGGCAAGCATCAACACTCCAAGTCCAGAGATCTTCCAACCCCAGGCTGCCCAAGCAGCCCGGAAGCAGCAAGACCCCGAACCAAGCATTGCTATACAATATTAATCCTTTCTGGGCTGTCGAACCGTGACGTCACCTGATAAGCAAGCCTTGCAGCTGCCATAACGTTTAGCCAAAACATGCGGAAAAGTCAAGGTGCGTGACTGTTGTTTTCGTGGTGTGTATCTAAACAATTGGACATAACCTTACACATTAAGACAAATATTAAGACTAGCATTACAGTTGACACTAACAGCAGTTTTCCTGTATCCTTGACGTGCCTGCAGGCTGAATAGTTAACAGCCCAAGCTAGTCACCCTGTCTGCACTAAACATTCATAGACAACAGATCTCTAATCCATACCTATCTAACTAAGAAATAACCTAACAGTGAGCATCTTGTTAAATGAACAGATTTTCCAGCCCAGCTGGGTATCTCCAGCAGCTGCCGCTATCCCGTGTGTGACTGGGTTTTCAGAGGAATATTCAGGGGTGTTTTTCCTGTTTGTTAGGTTCTGGCCTGTGAAGCTCAGCTGTGTTCTGTTTCCTAACCCCCCCGTGTGTGAACAGCCAGCTGCTGCCTAATGAGCTTATTTAGGTCCTGTGCTCGTGTTCCCAGAAACATTGTTAAATCAATGTTAACTTGATTGTAACCACTCAGTGGACATGCAGGACAAGATGTTTTTATCTTATGATGAATGTGAGGGTGGGGCTGCTGTTTACTGTAAAGCCCATTTGCTCTAGTTCTTTTAACTTGCCTGCTTTTAGTTTCTAAGTGGGCCTGGAAATCGAAGTGGTAATGAGCTGAGTAGTCAGACACCCGGAGTCAAACATGGACACTGTGGAAAAGTTCATGTGAATTTAGCTTGAAATCTTTCTCTCTCCACGTGTCTGCAGGAGCGCACGTTGTGAATTAGGCTGTGAGTTGTGTCAAACTCCAGCTGTAGCAGAATCTTTGTCCTGTTCATCAGCCAGCTGTGGTTTCTGTGGCTGAGCACTTTACAGACTCCCAATGTACACTTTTTGTCGAGCACTGGGCGGGCTGCTGGGGGCGGCTGTGGCTCAGGAGGTAGAGCAGGTCGTTTCCTAACCAGAGGATTAGCGGTTCGATTCCCGGCTTGTCCAGTCAACATGTCGAGGTGTCCTTGAGCAAGACACTGAACCCCCAGTTGCTCCCAGTGATGTGCTTGGGAGTGCGAATGGGTGAATGTAATAATGTGAAAGCACTTTGAGTGTGCTGTAAAAGCATAGAAAGGCGCTATACAAGTATAAGACCATTTACCACTAGTGGTTTTATGGCCTGGGAGCGAATTAGCCGCGGCGCTGTCTCTGAACATTAACTCGGGTTAAGTGTAGTGCTCAGTGCTCATATCCCCCATGAATAATGGATGCTGCAGGACCGCTCCTCCTGCTTTCATCCAGACACGCAAACCGCAGGCGGACACTGGGGTTGCAGCAGTACACCGGTTTCACAGTGCACCATGGTATGAACACTGACAGTTATCATTCTGTGCACATTGGCCTATTTCAGGTAATGAAGTGTGCACCTTTCTTCCCCGATGCCTGTCAGACTCTGTGCACACATGCAGCAGACATATGGCAGAGAAACAGGCCCAGGACCAGTCTGGCTGCGCTGTCGCCCACCTGCAGTAAATTAGCTGATCATCATTTACATCGTTGTGACAGCATTTCTCACTACTGCCAGAAGTTTTACAAACCAATCAGGTGATTAATGGAGAAAATTATCAGCAGGTTGATCTGAAATGAAAATAATCAATAGCTGCACTTGGATAAAATCTAGCTGAGCAGAGCTGCAGCTCAACCGGCTGCAACAGTCACGTCTTGCTTTACATCAGTGCATGAGACAGGCTGGTAATGTAATACCAGATACACAGCAGTATAACGGTATAGGATATACAGTATAGTATAACATTTTTCCGCATTGAGTAGCCTACTTCTATTTTAAATACTTTAAGCAAATGTTCATGATAACATTTAATTTTACTTAACATTTTCGATGCAGGTCTTGTAACGGGCTACTTTTATAAGAGTGATATTAGTATGAGATACTTCCTCTACTACTGGGGCTAACACACAACCTGACAGGCTTAGTTATATAACATGTTATATGCTATTTGTTAATCATGTTTATAATTTGGTTATTCTTTAGAGCCAGTCCAGCTCATTTCCCTGGAGAAGTCACCTGTCAACAAGAAAGGACCTTTTTGTTTTCATTCCTTTAACCTTTAAGGATTGTTGTAGCTGATGACAATAGTAATTGTGTGATACCGTGAAACACAATGATGGTACTGTGAAAATCTTGTACTGTACTTGTTGCAACCCTAGTGTTGGAAGTTATTCTCAGGAGCAAGTTAAACTGGAATCAGTACTGGCTAATAGACTGAACAATGAGGAATATTTACTGAACCCTACGCAAAACAGTCCAGAGCTGTAGGTAATCTGCCTCGGGACAGACTTGTATGTGTATGTATTCGCACTTTACTTGAGTATTTCTATTTTGTGCTACTTACTTTCACTCCATTACACAAAATACAGCAACTTTTGCTCCTTCACATTTATTTTATCCCTGCGGCTGTTTTACTAGTGATTTTGAAGATTTAGATTGTACACACTAAACATTTCTATGGAGGAGAAATGTTGGATCAGACTACACAACCAGCTGCACGTTCTAATTCCTCTGGAAATTATATTGACCTGTATTATGATTCTCACCACAATATGCCCTGAAATAACATGAACCAGTGAGGATTTGTCAATACTTAACCCACCTGTTATGTTCATTTCTCAGGAACAGCAGTGATGTTCCTGGGTTAATTTTACCATTACAAACCATTTCAGTCACGATTTAGTGCAGTGGTGTTCTTTACCACCTCACAGATTATGGTTCAATGAGGATAATGCACTTGTTTTCCATTAATAAAAGCATTTTAAAACTTTTTTTAATGTACATTGGAAAGACCTACATATAAAATACATTACTTTTACATGACTGTTTTTTTAAAAACTTTATTTTACATTTTGAAATCTTTTCTTTTTATGAAGTGATGTTGATAAATTAACATGAGACATCTTCTGTTCAACATAACAGGAGGGCTTAATAGAGTAAATAAAGGTTTAATTATGTAAAAGCTCAATAGACTACAGTAACAAATAAGTAAAAAAAAAATCTAAAAATACTATATACACACACATTAGGCTAGGTACACCAAATTCATTGTTGCTTTCTGTCTCTGGGAGTTGTGTAAAATCCTTTAATTACTGGCCTGATCGACATGCTGTGTCTCACTGGAATACCTGCAGAATATCTGTTCAACAGGACAGACCTCTTCAAGGGCCCATGGCTATGGCTTCATGTGCACACATGGTGGTGGCGTCACTGCTGTGTTTGTGTGCGGTTATTGTGTAATGTCTGCCCACTGGTGTGGTGGATTTATCCCTTTTGGTTGTGTAATATCAGTAACAAAGTGACTCAGGTGTCAGGTGAACTCATTCCTCACACCGGTTTTGTATTGTAATGATTATAAATATCGAAGACGCCAGGAGGAATATCTGAGACTGAGCCGTAGCTAATGGGGTTCTTAATAAACAAACAAACCTGGGAAAGTAAATTAGTGTATCGCACCACTACGCATGAATTATTTATTTACTCAGCACAGAGAATAGTCCATATTGGAGCCATAATCCAGATTAACCGAATTCTCAATTAACTGTAATGACTAATCATCCAAATGATGATGCTAATCATTATTATCAGTAATTTTATGAGATGTAATCCACACCAGATGTTACTCTGAGTACTTTCTTTACCTCACTTAATCCTGATCAGATGTAAATTGAATTACTGTCAGTCCCTATCAATGAATCTGTTCTAATTCTGTTCAGATGCGTTCCTGCTTCATTAAATCTCAAATAAACTGTAATTTTGATTAGATATCATCCGGATTATCTGACGATCAATGATGCATTAACTCGAATACTGATCACTCCTAGCACTGTTTGACTGTGATCCTGTTTTGATGCAACAGGATCTAAACAGATCCAGAACCGAGTTCCTGTAATCCCGCTTGTCTGTCATTCCATGTATCAGGTCCAGTTTAACCTTAATCCTGATTAGACACAATCCTGACTGAACTGTAATCCTGATCTCTTTTAATATTTCTCCATTAGAATCCTGCTCAGATGTAATCCCAATCACATGCAGCCTTGTAATCCTATTTATCTAAAATCCTAATTCACTGTTTTCCATATTATTCATCAGTTGTAATCCTTAATCATCTTAATCCTGATAAACAATAATCTCAGTCAGATGCAGTCTAATCCAGATTACTTAATTCTGTTCAGATGTGTTCCTGAATAATTGTAATCCTACTCAGTTCTAAATAAATTTAATCCTGGTAAATTGTACTTGTGATCAGGTGTAATCCAGATTAATTGTTCTAATTCATTTCAGACCTGTTAATGGGATTTATTATTAACTAATTCCAAAGGACTCTAATCCAGATCAGCTGTAATCCGGAATTTGTGTAGTTAATTTAATCACCTTGAATGGTGAGCAGGTGTAATTCAGCCCTGATTGGTTCTAATCATGGTTCCTAATCAGAGCTGACACAGAGGGTGTGTTTGTTTTTCAGACCTGCTGAAGTCGAATTGCAATGTTGCTCTGCAGGTCTGACCAGTGTGTTCAGGTTCCTGTGAAGCCACACAGGTTTGAACCTCTCAGATTTAACTGTATGAAAACAAACAGCCACCTCTTCTCTGGTTGTTTGTGCAGGACATATTTGGCTGTGCTGGGACCTGCTTGTAAACCAACACATCCGGTGTTAAAGCAGGTGGAGCAGTAGGAAAGCCAAAAACCCATCCTCCACATTGCAGGTCCAGTTAGAGACTGTTTCTTGTTTGTAAACCCAGTGTGAGGAGCAGACTGATGGAGGGTCGATCCTCCAGTGATGATGTTTGTCCATCTAATCTGAGTTGCAGTTTCTTCTCATTACTCACTAACACCTAAAACTCTGAATATGGGGATATGTACATACACACTGAGAGCCGATGTACCAGAGTCAAATTCCTTGTGTGTCCGACACGCCTGGCCAATAAAGCAGATTTTCACAGTTGCTAAAACAATAAACCCCATTCTGTGAACCAAATTCTCAATAGCTTAAACCAATTTGTCGAATAAATCACTTTTTCTGCAAAACCCTAAACCAGTTTAGGCACTTAGACACTGCAAATCTCGTGCACTCTTTTTGCTAAACTTTAAACAGATTCTCATTCGCTAAAACACAATTCGCCCCCGTGTCTCTGTTCACACTGCTCCACTGGCTCCTCACACTGCAGAGTCTATAAAAATGCCTTAAAAACAGTCAAATGACAGTTGTGTTTGATGCAGAGGCCAGTCTAGTTCAGTTTAACACCTCAACACTGGCCTGTAGTTGCACTGGTTTCACTGGTCAGCTGTGTGTGTGACTCTGCTGGTAGTAATGGTAGAGTATAACTAGGCTCAGGCTGTGCGAGCTGCTGTTTATCTGATGGAAGATTCTCGGGCTGCAGCTGCTAATTATTTTCATTATTGATTAATCTGCTGAACATGTTCTCAGTTAATCCATGATGTAGTGAACCCGCTGAGAACTGCAGGAGGTGTGCTCGTCTGCACGCCGCACCTTTAACCAACACAAATGTACAAAGAGGCCCACGTCTGAGCTGCACAGCAGTCGGAGTGCTCGCTTTTTAAAAAATAAATCATTAGTTTACAATCTGATGCCTCATCAGAATATGAACATGTATTATATTACTGCGTCATAAATTAAACTAATAAACTGAAATCAAATTAAATAGAGCGGTAAAGCTGAGTGAATTTGAACTGTAAAAATTCATATTTCATCCAAATAATATTGCAAATCGAGGCTCAGGCCATGATTTTACTTAGGTTAATGTAAATGACTGCACTGATTAATGTCAGTATTTTGTAATAATGTCAATAACAAATTTAGTCTGAACCATCTTTACATACTGAGGCTATTATAATTTACACGAAGGAAACAATCAAAAAATAAACTATTAAAAAATTAGGAGAAATAAAAATACTAATTGGACTAGTGACAAAAACAGCTTTTATTTTGATAAAAGTAAATACAGACTTCCTGTGAGCTCAGGCAGGATGACAAAGTCTGTTTGTCTTTGTCCAAGCCATTCTTGCTGTCCCATGTTTGTCTCCATGGAAACATGCACATCCTCCAACTGCTCTGTTTCTGGCTCTGAGGATGAAATATTGATGGCAGATCACCAGTCCCAGTGGTTTGCGTGTGAGCGCTGAATAATACATGTGGCTAACATGCACATTGTTCCAGGTGCAACACAAAGTCACACTTGTGGCTGATGCGTGTCATTAGTTTCATTTGATCTTAAACTGAAGTTGGACAGAGTCAAACTTTGCTCTAGTGATTTTTAGTTTTACAAACCAGCCCAGTTTTCCTCCGCTGTCCTTGTTTTCTGGCCAGTGAGGATTAGATTGTACAAAACTTCACCGTATTAAGTAGGGACAGGCATTTTGATATTTGTTGGGAACTATTGGACAATTATTCAAAGATCACAGATGGTGACACCCTCACCCAGCAGTACGTCACCCTTGAAGAATAGCACTCTGTCTCTTCCAGCTGCTTATATAACAGCACATAGGATTCAGCTGCCAGCGCCGTCCATGCATGCGCTTGTCAAACCACATGCGTTGTCATCACAGTTTATCCAGCCATGATGCTGCAAGCTCTGCATATTTCTGCTGTTTGCGTTAGACGCTGGAGTGAAACAATGCACTGACCTCCTCACCGCCTTATTTCCAGCGAGGGAACAAAACCATAGTTACATAAAATTTTTACATTAAATCTTTTTTAAATTTTACCAGTTTGAATATTTAAAAATCATAGTCCACCCCTACTTTTAACTTACCCCTCTATTTAAAATGTGTTTTGTGTGTTATCTGTCACTTCTTTGGAGAATCTGTGCAGACTTGCTGCAGGTTTTCTCCACATTTTGTACATGAAACCGACTCTTTGTGTCCGTACAGCTGAGTGGCTGCCTCATCCTGGCTGTGGCCATCTACACGAAAGTCTCCAAGGATGGAAACCAGGTGAGTGTTACTGTTAACGCTCTCACACTAGTGCAGACAAACTCTCCAGATTATCATTTTACAACAGCTTCAGGCTGTCACCGCCCACACCCAACCTCTCGAAGGTGACACTCATTTTGTTTCGTCCACCGCTGCCTCCCGTCTCCAGATCACCAATCAGTATTTACCTGCTGTTGACCTGATGATCGCCATCGGAGTGATCATCATGGTGCTCGGCTTCCTGGGCTGCTGTGGAGCCATTAAGGAGAACCGCTGCATGCTGCTGCTGGTAGGATTCTTCACAGCCTCCTCCTTCTTCTGTTTTATTGTATTTTAAGGCTGAGGCTGTTTTTTTTTTTTTATTCCCCACCAACCCCATTCAAGACCAGCAGCACCAGTGAGTGTGGTGTGTGAGTCTTCCCCTCCCCCGTTCAGCTCATCACTCTGGGCCGTAGACCTCCACTGTTACCGCCCACCCAGTGAGCCACACCACTGCACTGGGGGGCAGGTTTCCCCCTCAGGAAAGATGGGGGGGTCACATTTCAAACCTTTGTCAGTAGAGTTAACATCACAGATGTAATACATGGAAACATTCAAAACCTGAACTCTCCTCACTAGTAATTGTTTCTAGTTTAGTTTCCAGATCTGCGAGGACGTTATCAGGGACCTGTGCAGGTTTCATGTGTGATTTAAGACAAATTCACATTGTTAAAACGCTTCCTTCCATCTTCCCTCAGTTTTTCATATTCCTCCTCCTCATCTTCATCCTCCTGGTGGCCGCAGGCATCCTGGGAGCTGTGGGGGATAAAAAGGTAAAACAGGAAGTGACTGTCCCCAGCTGCAGCCTCATTGGTTTGTCAGGAGCATCACACTTCATCTTTAGTGTGCTTTTTGTTTGTGATCGTAGGTGGACAACTGGATAAAGGAGCGCCTCA